TCCGTTGGGGCCAGGAGTATAAAGGGTGCACGGACCCTGGTCAACTCTGGCATATACCGCGATTAACTTCCACCCATTGCTGAGGGGCCGAAGATGGGTGGTCCAGGACATAGTCTGGTGTAAATTGGGAAACCTGAGTATAAAAAAAAAAAAAGGGGGAAAATCCATTCCCGCCACCCAATAGCCACCGCCACAGACTTGCTGCCACCGCCCATACACCGTCAACCACGCCATTGCTCATAAATGCCACCAGTCATAATCACGCCAGGAAGAAAATGCATTTTAACAAAATCTAAAAAGGGCAAAACGGTAACTTCACTATTTTTCACTTCAACAATTAAAATAACTATAAAAAATAAAATATATACATCATCTTCTTTCCACCCCCATCAACCTCCTACCTACCTCATAATAAATCAAAAATGGGGAAAATCCATTCTCGCCACTTACTAGTCACCGCCACACACCTACGTCCACCACCCATCCACAGTCGACCGAGCCATCGCTCGATTCGCTCCTAAACGCCGCCACTCATAACCACACCACCAAGAAAAATACTTTTAACCAAATCTAAAAAGGATAAAACGGTAATTTCGCTATTTTTTCATATAAAACGTTTAAAAAATTATAAAAATAAAATAAAATAAAAATAAAAAATATTCATCATCTTCTTCCCATCCCCATTCACCTCCCCACCTACGCCACTAAATTGGGAAAATCCATTCCTGCCACCCACTGGCCACCAGACCCACCACCTGCCGCCTCCACCCATCTACCGTTGACCACGCCCTCGCTCATAAACACCGCCACTTGTAACCATACCAAATACTCCGTGTGCCGCATTTTCCAATCTCTCTCACTCTCTCGCCACAAATCTGTAGCCGGAAAAGATGAAATCCAGTGCTCTAGCAGTTGGAGAAATGCGATTTTGTTAGAAGGATCTGGCTTGACTGTGTGTCGCATTTCCCAATCTCTCTCTCTCTCTCCCTGAAATTTCAAGGTTAAAACAAGGGGTGCAATTTTATCAGAAGAATTTGGCTGGTCATTAAAAGATAAAGAAAACTGGTTGAAAAGACTAGTATTTGGGGGGTGAGTTTGTAGGAATGCGAAACCAGAATTACCAAGAAATTTTAAAAAAAACTTTAATTCAAGAAATACGATCGTCTGGATGTTTATGTGTACGTTATATCAAGAATAAATGATTCAAGTTTTTACCTAAATTCGATGATTGATTATTGAATTAATTCTAAACTATAAGTTTCCAACTTTTTAATTCCAAAAACTAATATTCCAAACCTCTAAGTTTTCTACGATATTCTCTAAAGTCTAGACTACATCAGTGGGTGAAAATATTATTTTAATTAAATCAAGGAACTAATTCTTGAACTGGAAAAAAATAAGAAAATTTTCTTGTTTAGTGTTTGATCAATTTATGGGATTTTGAGATTGAAGCAGATAAAAAATGAGAGAGTTTTAAATTGTGTTGGAATAAACAGATAATAAAAATTAGTTGATTTTGAAATTTTACGTGAAAAGTGTTTGATTTTTACTTTTTAACTAAAATTGTAGTATTGTCTTTTAGATAAAAATGATTTTTGTAATTGTATTGTTTATTTAAGGGTATTTTTGTCTTTCAAATTCAAAAGATCGTCGCAGAAATATGCAATTGTTGAAAATTGAAAGTGGTAATAGGGGGGGTTTGATCATGTCAATTTTAAAAGTACCTCTTTTCTTGAATATCTTGGATTAATGATGGTTAGTCTTCTTTCATAATTCTTGATCTATATTATTTTTATTGATAATCAACATTATGGTTCACTATTGTGTTTCAATACATGCTTTTTTGTGTTAGTTTCTTGTGTATTGTGTGATTCGCTTATGGGTGAATATATTTTGATTCAGTTCAGCTTTTGTCGAATATTTTGGATTAATGATAGCGAGTATTCCTTCATATTTCCTTTATTATCAACATTTTTTCATCATTTCTTTTTGATGACCGAAAACGTCTTGAACGGCTTCAAAAGACATTTACTTTTTCTAATCGATGGTAATTGTCTTTAACGACACTACAGAATTTTGTGTGGTTCTCTACGCATTATGAACATTATCTGTCAAGTGAATTGTGTGGATCGCTATACTTTGTGAACATTATCGATATGAATGTCGATATAGTAGTATCGGTATCAACATTTTGGATGATACGATCACTACCCTCGTGTTTTTCACTTTCGAGTTCGTGCAATACTTTGTGAATTCACAAAATAACGCTAAGATTTGTTTGAAGTGATCTTGTTGGTTTGTCACGCATTTTAAACGTTAATTGTCAAAGTTATGTCGATATCATATTATGGTAACGACATTTTGGACGATGCAATTGTTACCTTCTGGCTTTAACATTAAAAACCCATGAAATAAACCTCATAGTTGTTTTGAGTGATCTCGTATGGCCCATCATGTGTTTTGGACGTTATCAACGTCATTGTCATAATCGTAGTATCGAACCGACATTGTTGATGTTATGATTGTTATCTTGCATTTTCCATTTTCAAGTTCTTGAAACAACGTAAAAAAATTCACAATAGAACACGGACGATAACGTCATTGTCATAATCGTAGTATCGAACCGACATTGTTGATGTTATGATTGTTATCTTGCATTTTCCATTTTCAAGTTCTTGAAACAACGTAAAAAAATTCACAATAGAACACGGACGATTGTTTGGAGTGCTCCTATAAGTTTGGTCACACGTGTATAAAATCTATTGGACATCATACGAGTGAGATTCATACTAGATATTTAGATTTAAATCCACCATTCGATATTACTATTGCAAAGTAACACTAATAGTTGTTTCAAATGCTCTTACATATTCGAGCATGTAATTCAAACATTAATATGTAGTTAATATCATTATGATAGTACCCTCGCCAAAGTTGTTCCGGTTCAATCATTACCGTCACATTTTGTGCTTCAAATTTGTTTTCCACCTTTGAGATGTAGGATCAATATTCCAAACTCACAAAATAATTTAAAATGTTTGATACTGCCCTCAAAATTGCATTATATACATTAGCAAAGGCCAATCATTACTTATAGAAAAAATTGCAAAGTGATCGAATAGTCGTAGGTTTAACAACATGGTAAAATCAACGATCGCTCTGGACCATCAAACGTGCTTTTATAATGTGACATAATGTGTTTTTATAATGTTAATTTACACTTGCTGCCT